TATTATATTATTATTATATTATATGGATTATATTATTTACAATCCTTGGATCACACAGGCTGATGTGCTTCTTCCATGTGGACTTAATTGACACCTCTCTTAGATGGTTGCTTGTTTGAAAACAAACCTCTAAAGTTACTTTAAAACCAAACAACGCGTGTAACTAATCAGAATAGGCTTGGCAAAAGACAGAATTAGTGCCTGGAGATAGGTCAATAGAAAAATATAAAACACAGTCTAAAATGCAAAAATCAAACCCACTGTTGCCCAGCGGATTCCAACTCATAGTGACTTGGACAGAGTAGAACTGCTCTATAGGGTTCCAAAGGCTGTCGATCGTTACAGACGCCTAAGGAACCACTAGCAGCCACGAAAACACCACAGGCTAAACTCGGAGACATGCCATCAAATCCACTCCAACTCAGCATGGCTGTAGGTCGTCGGAGCAGAACTGCCCCCTTGGAATCGCCAAGGCTATAAATCTTTACGGAAGCAGAAAGCCTCGTCTTCCTCTCTCAGAGCAGCAGGTGGCTTCGAGTAGTTGATTCGTGGTTAGCAGCCCACCACGTGTAACCCACTATGCCACCTAGGCTTCTTACCATAGTCTAAAGACACGGGCAATTCAAATTCTAGAGAAGGAATGGAACCAAAGCTATATATATTGTTATTTTTTAGATAATTTTATTAGGGGCTCTTACAACTCTTGTTACAATCCATACATCAATTGATGTATCTGACGTATTAGTACATATATTGCCATATACCTCTGATCCCTCCAGGCCTCCTCAACCCCCACTATCATGACCCCCGTGCTGCTTCCCACTCTGGACTGAACGGGAGCATGTACACAGGCATAGGCAAAAGATAAAGCTCAAGACACATGGAACCCAGGAACAGGCATGGGAATAGCGTACCAAAAGGGTAGGGGGAGGAGGGGAGAAGTGGGGCAGAAGGGAGGACATAAGCACACACCACCCCCTCCAGGGGGAAGAACCACAGAAACCAGAGGGGAAGGGAGACAGCGGTTGGTGTGAGATAGAAAATAATAACAAAGCTATAATTGAATGAGACAATAGTTAAGCATTTTCCATAACAATGGAAAGACATCAGCACAGGGTCGTGAAACCCAGCAAACCCCACATTTACTAAAAACAAGCTGCACCTAAGAACACCCAGTGTGACTACTGACAGACACTTCTAAAGCTGGCCGGAGGCAATGACATTTTAAAGATGCAACAACAAATTTGGGGGCAGACTTTCCAGCAGAAGCTTTGGAAGAGCTGGGAAAGGGGAAGAAACCCCCCGAATGACAGATGGGGTGGAAATCGGTTCAGACAGAACCAAGAAAGACCTGCCCGGGCTACCAACAATACTAACCTGCTGCAATCTGAAGTTCAATGTCATGACAGAATGGGAAGGAAAAGAACTCAAGATAAGGGTGACTCATTAGCAAAGACAAAGGGGGATTGCCTAGCTTAATGCCTCGAAGATTTGTAAGAGATGCAGACATGTAACAAATTATATTAACGATTACATAACAAGGATGGACAGAAGTGGTGTTAACGAGTAAAATCCTCTTTATTATTTAGGAAGTGGTAAATGTGCGTGTGTGTTTAAGGCTGACTTGTAATCTCTAGGGTCTAAAATAATTACAAGAATAAATAATGCAAACTAAGAGACAAGAGCGGAAATGGATTCTTCATAAAAGAGTGCCTGTAGCATCATGCCCGGACCCAAAGATCCCAGTTGTGCAAACGCAGAGCCAGTGTGAACAAACCCGGGGGGGCGGGGGGTAGAGTTGGATGGCATCAGGTAGTTTGGATTAGAACATTGGGCGTGATTCCCTGCACTCAGTGGTGGGATTCAAATAATTCAACAACCGGTTCACTGCCTGAATGACTGTTTTAAGTATAAAAATATGATATACCGAAAGGTAGTTTATTATTTAACACAGTCAATACTTAAATAAGAATAGTAAAAGCACGGGGTGTCGAACGGATCACTGAAGACAAATGGGTGCATAAGCAAATGTGGT